TTCATAGCGTATACATTATAAAGGTGTTATTTATGCCATGGTTGTTACATGTGTATCGTTTTACTTCGACTAAAGCAGCAGCAGTAAAACAATAGGGATGAATCCAAATAAAATTTAATCAGCTTTCAAAAAGTGATGACAACGAGAAAAGAACAATAATATTTAAACGTTATATTTTTATTTCTGGAAAAAGCATTCTAAAAGGACTGAATGTTGCAAAAAAATATATTACCATATGAGTCGTACCGCTAATTCATGTTGATCAAATTCATAGGTATTTATCATCGTGAGCCGTTTATCAGTTGTGTGTGAAAGCTAAGTTAATTTAGTAACGAAAGGGTTCAAAAATTAAAAATGTTCCAATATTTTTATATATATTTGATTATTATTAATGAATTCTAATAATTTTATAGTTGTCTTCGAGTCTAGAATTTCATTACTCTTCTTTATATGTATTAGACTGTTTACAAATTAGGCAGCATTTGTATAGTATAAGCATACCATTTTTCTTATTTACCCATCTAGTTACCCTGCGAGGCTCCTTTTTTTTCTGGTAAAGCATGCGGCGCCTTTATCCAAAAGTGTCCTACGTTGTCCAAGCTTCTATCACTAATCAGTTATCATTTTCCACAGCATCAGGACAACGTATGGAATCTGAATCATCGGAACGAGAAAGAGAATGTGAGCTTCGAAGACAGGTTCTTTACAAATACAATGGAGTGAAGATTCCCGAACTAGTCAGCTTTAATTATGGACATTTTTCTTCTGTCAATATAAATCTTTCTGCTACCCAGTATGCGTTGCGTGATGCAGATGATTCCTTTAATAGTAATATATTGCCTAACAATAGTTCGAAAGAGATCCGAAGAATGATCTGGCTTATGATTCTTAGCGGGCTTACTCTGATTTATTTTCTTAGAAAAGTAGTTCTTCAAACCAGTCGTGGCTTAAATGACCTTGAGCTTCCCCTGTGGCTGGCCAGTATTGAAAGACAGTCCAAGCATATTATCTTCCTAATCCAATTTGATGAGCAAACCAGGATAGATTTGAGGAAAGAGTTTGAGTCTGTTCACTTCTTAAATCCATTTATTGACTTTTTTGACTGGGTCAAGACAAAGCGACCGGAATTTGGCCTTGGCATTCGGTATGATCCTGGCGTAAGTATAGGTATACTTTTGACTTTCTTGGCAAATACTGAATCACATGTGCTAACGATATTTATACGATCCATTCAAATGGCTTCCCTAAAAAGAAATGTGTCTCCTATGCAAAGGCTTGATGAATTCATTGATCATATTCGTTTCTCCGGTTCTGTGACTAGTGGAACTGATAATATGAAAGCATTTGATGGAGAAAATGTTGTTTGTTCTAAAGCAGCATCGACACATTTGGTTAAAAAATCCACTGCTTTATCAGAGACGCATAGTGTTAACACTGGCGAAATATTCAGCATTCCAAAACCTGACCCTCACGAAACCAATCCTTTCCGGTACACATATCCAGATGGGCAATGCACATCTTAGCAGAAACATGAATCTAAGGCTTTGTATGCGAGTGGTGCTTTTATTGTTTTTATTACTTTTTAGTAAAGTGATTTTTTCCCCTGTTAGCTTTTCCAATCCGTGAATTTAATGAGTTATTCATTTAGTCGCTTGAATTGATGCTGTTTATGAGCATATACAATGTGCCTCAAATTATCCATATCTCTCTAAAGCATTCAATGTAGAGGTTGCGGAAAGGGCTTATATACATTCCAGCAAGTATATTGTTGAAATTTCTTAGATACTTTCTTGCGAATGCGCTGCATGTATATTTGTTCAATTGTAAGAGTATGATATTTTGCTCTCCTTTCTATAAGTTTGCATTGTGGACTATATGAAAAACGATACCTTTCTACATTTAGAACTAAATGACACGTAATAAAGCACACAAACAGCGATTCCGTTCCAAACATATGTTGGCGGAGAAGATAAAAGGCCGGAAGCTGCAGTCAGTTAACAAGATTGCAAAGGTAATAGACATTACCAATTCCAAGGAGCGGTCACGTCAACTATCAAAGTCGTTGCACGGAAAGCGGGTAAAGGCATCCCTTGAACATAAAAGGCTTGGTGGAGCTAATGGTATTCCTCGAATTATTGGTGTCCTCCCAGCCAACGAATCTGGAAATACTGAAGAAGTAATTGTGAAATTATGCGAATTTTTTAACTGTACATGGCAACCTGGAGAAAGTACACGTACCGTTGTTTCACATGAAAGGAATACTTCCTTTACGTTCATATGCGAAAAAAACTGCAACGCTCAGGACTGTGTTGATGTTTCGAAGGTTTCTGATATTCTTATCCTTGTTCTAGATGTATCACAGATGGTACATGATGCAATAAGCGAGATTCGGGCCTCAGGTATTTATGATGACGATGATTCTGAAAAAGTCTCCACTACATGGTTTAGTGATGTGGGCCTTTGTATTACTGACTACACACGTGATCTTATTACAGCGATTAATTCTCAGGGTGCCCCTGGTGTAGTTGTGGTCCTGCAAAATTTGCATACCTTTCCCGAAAAGCGCCAACAGAAAATTCTAAAGGTTCACCAGCGTTATTTCCTTTCTGTATTGCATGCCTCCTCTAAAATAATGGTAGTGGATGATGAGAATAGCTACAAAACACTTACATATCATCTCCAAGTTATGAAAATTCATTTATTAAAATGGAGAGATCAACACCCCTATTTTGTAGTGGAGAATGGTGCTTATGATAGAGAGTCTCGACAGCTTACGCTTTGTGGGTTCCTGCGCGGTCAGCCCTTATCGGCCAATCAACTAATCCATCTCACTAATCATGGTACATTTCAAATTTCTAATATTTTTGTATTCAATGAGAGTGGTGAGAAGATTATTTTAGATATCAGCGATGAGACCCAACGAGAGTCATTAAAGCATATACAACCCAGCTCGACTCTTGAGGATGAGGGTATGCCAACAGAAGCGGATGTAGATTACATGCAAGAAATGGAAGATACACACAGGATCAAAGTGCCGCTTGGTTCTTCAGATTATCAGGCAGTGTGGTATGACAACAAAGAAAACACTTTGGAAGGGCATGGTACATCACATATTATGGATCCCAATAGGGATGATGATGCATTTGCAGAGGTTATGTCTCACCATACCACTCAGACAGATGGAGATTTTTTAAATGTGGAAGATGCAATCCGCTTGGACCAAATGTCATATGAGGAAAGGGAGCTTGAAATGCAAAGACTAAGGGAAGCGAGTGAGCAAGAAGCGTGGTCTCCTGATGTAATAGACACTCCTACTAACATTGCTGCACGGCAACGCTTTGCCAAGTATCGAGGGCTGAAAAGCTTCAAAACAGGAAAGTGGGATCTATCAGAAAATCTGCCGCCTCAATATGCGTACATTTATAAACTGCAGGGCTATTCAAAAATCCGGGCTAATTCTATTGAAAAATGTAAGGAAGGAGTCGCCCAAGTTGGCCAATTTATTCATGTTACGCTAGAAAATGTTGACTCAAATGTTTGGGAAAACAAATCCAGTTGCTTGCTGATTGCATCAGGACAATTGGAGCACGAGCAAAAATGGTCTCTACTCCATTTTCAGGTTCAACGTGCAAGCAACTTCACTGACCCCATAAAATCAAAAACACCAATGCTGGCTCATATAGGCTTTCGAAAATTTTATGTATCTCCTTTGTTCAGCGATATTAATTCAGGGGATCGCACAAAATTGTTGCGCTTTTTTCATGAGGGTGATAGATTTTGCATGGTTTCTTTTTTCGGCCCCATTTCGTATAATCCGTGTCCAATTCTTCTGTTTGAAGTACCATCCCTAGAAGGGCAGTTGGAAGGTAGTCCACTTAATCTTGCTTGCTTTGGTGGAGCTAATCCTCCTAATCCCGATATTCTCATCCTTAAGCGAGCGATTCTAACTGGTCGTGTGGCGGTCATTCACAAAAGGCAAATTGTTGTCAAGTATATGTTTTTCAATGATGATGATGTGAAATGGTTTCGACCGGTGGATTTGTATACTAAATTAGGACGTCGTGGAAATATCATAAAGGCTGTTGGTACGCATGGTTTATTTAAGGCAGCCTTCAATGATCAAGTGATGCAGCACGACCTTGTGTGTATGGATTTATACAGACGCGTTTTCCCAAAGTGGAATACGGCAGCGTTTAATATTTCAGACGTTCGCCTCCCCTCCCATTGTTGTAATGAAGAAAATGAGGCCTGAATAATCCATTAAAAGACTATTAATTGTTAAAAAACATAACTGAGTCATTTTTTCGCTATAAAATAAATCTATCACCACTTAAAAAGGGTCGCTCTGTCTTGATAATAACTTCTTTTTTATTATTATGATTCTATACTAGAGGTAGTAAACAAACTACAACTGCACAATATAAATGCCCTACGATATAAACATCATAAATTTACCGCCCCATTCGAAATTTTCCATTCAAAGAATTTAGTAATTTCTAGGTATTGACGTTATTCAAAAATATATTCTGACCTATCAATGCGTCGATTTCTACGCGACTTCACCGCACATAATGCCAGATGTGTTTCTTATGCTGCAAGTATATTTAATTATAAGGCAACAGTGGATGAACTGATTCCTTTTCCCTCTCACAAGCTGGAAATTGATGAGTCGGAGAATATTCAAGCACTCATTGAACAGATTCGTAACGGCGATAAAGAGTTAAGCATTCCAGGTGCTCGGATAGCTGTTGAATACGGTGGGCTTGGACTTGGGCACACTGCTCACGCATTGGTTTGCGAGGAGTTAGGGACGTGTGGAAATAAAAAGCTTCTGGCAACTATTCAGCATTGTAGTATGGCCTCGTATTTGCTTTCTACATTTAGCTCGTCCAAATTAAAGGGGAAATATCTCACTACCATGTCTGATGGAATTGTTATGATGGGTTGGGCGGTTAATGAGGGTTTTGGTACCGATTTTAGCATGAACGCTACCACAGCTACCCTTGAAAATGGTGTATATTGGATTAAAGGTGAAAAGATATGCCACTTTGGAGAGAACGCAACTCATTTCATAGTCATGGCGAAGACCATGACGCAGGTTGTTACCGAAGACGGACCCAAGGAAATGCTTCGAAACTCTTTTTTCGTTGTCAAGAAGAATAACGATCATAAGTGTGTTAGAGTGAATAAGAATCATGTGACGTTTGACAACGCGCCCGCTGAGGATGTCATTGGTGCTGTGGGTGAAGCCTTCAGGAACTCCATGATTACCCTTTTTACAGAAGAGTACGTCTATGCTGCAGCCTTACTAGGCACTCTGAAGCGAGTTGTGCAAGAGCTACGGGCCATGGTACCAGATCGCTGGGCAACAACAACCGTTGCTTCTTGTGCATGTTCCATTTATGCTATGGAATCAGCTCTGTACGCTCTTACTGCCTGTTTAGACCTGCAGACGGAGGATAGTTTGTTGGAAGTTGCACTGGTGAATGCCTTTGTGCAGATAACAACAAATGAGTGGCTGACGCTGCTTTCGACAGCAACCCCTACAACAGAGACGTTGGAGGAATGTTTTGCATGCGCCAGAGCTCTTTTAGAGATGATGGAGTCGAGTGATTTTCTCTATTCTACAGCTGTGTGCTATGGCGTTGAGGACTTTGGATTGAATTTTCAGCGTACAACAACGTTGCAACTAATGCAGACGCGTCTGCTACGTACCCTTAACCTTTATGAACGTCTTCCTATCAAGGAAATTGATTGTACACCTATTGACAAAGCCATTGTAAATTTTGGAAATGCAGTAGAAAGCGCCTTTGTTCGTAACACCACTCGACTTCCGTACCAGCAATTGATTATTAATCGATTAGGAGAGGCGGCAGGGCTTATTTACATTGCCACAGCTGCCGCTTCACGCGCCTCCATGTGTATCAATAAGCGCATCAAAACCGCTAATACAGAGAAGCAGCTCGCAACAGCGTTCATTACTTCTGCAATGGAGCGCGTGAATATTCTTTCCAATGAGTGCCGCAACACAGGGCTTACAGCGGATGATTCGTACATGCGTATTGCTCTGGAATTGTGTGAAGACGCGCTCCAGTAACAACTACAGGAAGGTGACAATAAGTCTTAAAGCATAATGACAGGACACAGGGACCCATGCTCTCGGCCAGTTACAAGCCAATGAATTGAGAGGTGTGACTAGCAAGTGGTGAAGTAGAGGATGACATTAATGATGATGATATCATAGCTTAACTTTTACCAATTAATCCCTTCGCGACATTTTTATCTTGAGTATTTTTATGCGATATGTTCATTTATACTTTTTCACCAATCTATACTCGCTTGACTCTACCGAGTAGCAACCTTGATAGTAGCGTTTGCCTGTCTCTTTTATTTTCCTAAAGCAACTACTTTAGCGTCTGTCTTTGCTAACACTTTTCATTAACACATCAGAAGAATGAATAACTCAATAATTATTCACAAGTAACGCTATTTTTATAGACCTTAATGTCTCACTAATTTGTTCATTCTATTTCATGACTACTTAAACTGGGATGTGAGAGCTATATTTCACGACCTCAATCGCCTTATACTTCTAACAAAGGTGCAGGAAATTGAGTAAAATATATTTTGAGTTTTGAATGCTAGCACATCTTAACAGGTCATGTTGACACGTAGTTCTCTTCTGTTGATACAGCATATTGGCCAAGATGTTCCCAAGCGCCATACGCACTTTATATTGGAGTCACGTCTTATGTATGAAAAATCTTTCCGTGACGAGTGGCTTCGAAGCTTATGCCAGGTCATCTCCATTTTAGACGAACCATTGGCTAAAACACTCTCTGGTACACGTCAGAAAATGTTTCAACGGAAGATAACTTGCTTTAGTTACAATCAGTTCGGACTTTTTACGGTTCCCTACTATCGTTTAGCAAATGTTGACCGTTACTATGCTGTGCAAGGGGTTCCTGGAACTCGAGAATGGGTGGGATATGCAAATGTATCATATTGGACCATGAACAAGATGGTTCGCAGTGGCCATATCTTAGTTCACCGCGTACATTATAAAGGGTGGGGTACTGATAGTTCGCTTAATCAGGGCGGGTGGGAATATAGATGGAATAAGATCATGCAGCGTAACGTTCTTCAATATACTTCTATTTGAAGCATTTTCTTGTATTTTCCGATGAAAACGTCACCGGAATATTTTGATTGTGCCCAATATCGATGCGTAACGGAAAAGCCATATATTTGTGAGAGAATTATACTTACCAAAGTTGATTGTTATATGCACTCTTTCCAGATTTAGTTTATATCCATATATCACTTTCGTTGATCTTCGCTCATATCTTGACATGTATCATTTTTAGGGTCAACATTCTTTTGTGTCTTGTTCATTTTTCGTTACAGGTTCCATGAGCTCGTCGATTAGTCATCGCATTATTAAAGTCGGATCTAAGGCAACTAAAAAATTTATCATTCGATCCGAAGATGTCATTGCGTTCGGCAATCTTATCGAGGATCACAATCCAATCCATTCGGATTCGGATGCTGCAAAGGCTGCCGGTTTCTCAGGAACTATCTGCCATGGCATGTTTGCTGGATCGCTCTTTTCAGGACTCATGGCGACGGAAATCCCAGGACCAAATACCGTTTATCTTTCACAAAATTTAAACTTTACGGCGCCTATTTTTGTTGGTGACGAGGTAGAGGTTTCCGTTGAGGTGACCCGATTCCGACGTAGCAAGGGACTTTTGGAGATGCGAACTGTTATACAAAAGAAGGATTCACAAACCGAAAGACAAGTTGTTTGTATCGAGGGGACTGCAGTAGGAATGAACAAGGAAGTTGAATTCGAAGGGGAAAGCGAGTGGAAGTTATCTAGATGATATATTGATAAAAATCGAATTATTATGATTAGTAATGTTTTTTTTTCGTATTGTCTTTCAAATTGGGAAGCTGTGCAGGGATAAAATAGTCTAAGAAAAATACAAAGGCAATATTAGCGGAGTGATAGTGAGTAAGGTTTCATGTCTAGTGGTGCCTTTATTCCATTTCTACTGTTTTTAGCGTTCCTTTCCGTGTGTTTCAATGAGCCTTACGTCTCGCCGATGGGGTCGCATTTTTTTCCCTGAATTCATTTCATCTTAGTTACTTTTTACTGTTTCTGCTGAAGGTGCTTCTTACTGCTATTTTATAAGGATTACACACACACACAAACAGGGCTGCATTCATTTTTTTTTCCATACACTCATACATATATCGCTCATATCTTATTTTTTCTTCAAAAATGAGCTGTTTGATTCAAACATTATATCGTCGGCTCCTAAAGCAGACTCACCTATTTGACCTTGATGCACGACGATGCATGCTATTATGCAGTCAAGTGGAGATTGCTAGGTGCAAGTTGCCATTCCCGTTGCAGACATGTGTTGAAACCACTATTCGTGACGTCTTTCATCGTGGTTCTCATTTCTACTTTCCTATCGCGAAAAGTGGGACTGATAAGGATATTTCCGCAGTTCCATCGCTAAAGGATTTCCTGAAGAGGTGTTTCGCAACATATCCCGCAACCTCCATAAATATACAAAATGCGTTTGCATGTCTACAAAGACTGCAGACCATTAATCATTATTTTGATAAGGAAGGCAACAAACAACTTGTTCTTTCTTCATTTCGAGAGTATTGCCGATGCGTGTCGTCTCAGTTGATGATGGCTGGTACATTCACTGTGGCTCCTTCTCAGCATCTTTTGCCCTTCAATTTTGACTTTCTGCGCTTTTCGGACACCGACACGCATGCAGCAACAGAATTTCAAATAAATGAGGGTTCATCTTTAGTGTCCATAAGAGGGACTTTTCCAAGCTGCATGAGAACCGTTATGACTTGTATCACAAATAAAGTTCCTGATCAGCTTGAATCTAACGTGAGTAGAGATATCGATCGCTTGGCTTGTCCTTCAACTGGGGTGCAGATCCTCTTGGCACACCCTAATGTACGGAATAACGAGATGTTCGCAGTGGTGCTTCTTGTATCCGTTTCATTATGTTGCAAAGAAGCAGTGGGATTCGTGCTGAATGCTGCTCCCCCTCTTTTGGCCAATGAGGTTGTTGACGCTTCCCCGTCGTGTTTCCGTCAGAAACTAGGGCGCTTTTTACAAAATGGGAAAGGGGGGGGCATTGGCCCCACGGCTGATGCTGACCCGTTGTGTTCTGCAAAGTGCATAACTAATCAAAGGGTAGCGGAGGGACATCCTATTTTTGCCGAGTTGTGCGGTACGGACTCAAGCATTTATAAGGAAATGGGTTCATCTTATGATAGAGCATTTTCCAAGCATGGACCGTCGTTTTTGACATCAGCGCATTTAATTCACTGCGTGCCCGACACACCAGGTGCCACCCCACTCAGCACGGGGATGTGGTTGGATGGAGATAAAGATTTTCTTCTTGGAAAGCTTTGTGATGGGACGGCTCTGAAGGAGGATTTCATCGTTGTACATCGTAATTCCATCAGGCATTGGACGCATGACGCTCTTCAGAAGGAAATTCTCGAGGGGAAGTGGCTGTTATTACAGAGTACTGTAGAGGAATGCGGAAACGATCATAGCGAAGTGGTGAAGGAGGTGGTTTTCACGCTGACACGAAACGCTAAGGACGATAGTGAGGCCGATAGTAATGCACCTCAGTTCGATTTGTTTTCACCTTCATTTTCTCACACTCATAGCAGTGATAACGAACACATTGTTGCTACGCCAGAGAATATGGTTGAGTACGAGGGAGATAAGGAATTCAGTGCGGATCTCATCGAATCAGCTGAGATCGACGACGGCAATAGCAATGCTTCGGTGAAAGAAGCAACTATCATCAGTGACAATACCGGCAAAGATGATATCATAGAGACACAACTTGAGGGTGCTGTACAACTAAGCAAGATTATTTCTGAAGATTCGGCCTGGTCTCGTTACTATATTTTGGATCAATTAGATCCTGAAGACTTGGAGGTGTGGTCGATTATGGCGGCCTGGTCAACCGCTGATGGTGCCCTTACTTCTATGGAGAAATCATGGCGCTTAATGTATTACATACTGGGTTCACCTTTCGATGTACTGGCGGTACAGCGCACTTTTGTACCGCTGCCTATGCTAGACGAGGATGAAGAAGATGTCGATGTAAGTGAATGGCATGCTTTAGCGCTTAGAGAATCCTGATTTAATGAGAGGGCAACGGGCGGCCGTGGCAACAGAAAGAATTGTGGTGATGATAGGGAATGTGTTTTCCGATGTCAAAGTACCCTCAAAGATATTTTTACATTTGTTCAACACTTCGGATAAGTGGCTTTTTGTTGCAGACCTTTCTTACGTCCTTTTTTTGACGTCATATATATAATAAACTTACGTTTTTCATTTCGATTTATTAATTAAAGAGGTTGATCTTTAATCCTGCTTCATACAAGAATTGGTGATGAGAGGAATAGAAGAAGTCAGCGCAAGGCACTAGGGGCAGTAATGTGATCCTTAATAATGTTTAATCAAAGAACTTATATATATATACATATATATATATATCTTTTATTTGATTTGGATGTTATTGTACGACCCCGCACTTTCTGTTAGCTTGTACCTGTGTAAAATATATCGATAAATAGAGAATAATCAATAATGATACTGAAACTACGTGTGATTTACACGTATTTTATTTTTGAATTTTAATGTTATTCTAAGTGAAAATCCGTTCTTTTTTGTCCGTGGGAATCCGCGCATTGCACTTTAAATGAATAGGGAAAGACGGACGCAACCTTCATAAAAACTTTGAAGTTTCATTAACGCGATGCAGCGGGTCCGAAGGCTTTGTAGCTCTTTTGAGCGTGGTTGGCGTGACAAAACCCCTTTCCTGAATGATCGTCAGGGACGATTCAACCTATTTGAGGCATCTGCCGAACTTCAATTAGATGAGATATATCTTGCATCACTGTACAAGCCATTGCATTATACGTATTCTGTAAAGGGCCAGCTTTACCCAGCAGAGCGGGGTCGTAGTAGTCGTCCAGGCTCGCTAGAGAGTTCTCGCAACCGAATGTTCCCACTGTATCGCCGTGACTACGGACTAGATCGAGAAATGCGCCACTTGAGCTGGCGACGCATTACAACTAGCTGAAGAAACCCAGAGATGTCAATAGGAGGTGTGATGGAAAGCCAAGAAATGCTCTTTAAAATGTACACCTTCATGCGACAATGAATAATGTATTTTATCTAAAGGCTTCTTCAAGCTGATATTCCGAAAGAGTGATTCTAAAAGCAAGCACCCATGATTTTTCGTAAAGCGTCATACCTCCCTTAATGCCTCTCTTAGCTAGAATAGGTCGTTTTTTCTTTCTTGGAGGTTTCACAGAAAAAGGAAGTAGACCTATCCAGAGCTCTGAACGTATCTATACATCTACCAGGCTGGAATAATGATGCGATGGTCTGTGGACATAGCAGGCATCGACATCGAGGCAGACTTGATGCATGAAGCAGGAAAAAGAGTTCCTCAAGAACCTGTGGGCTCTCTGAAAGCTCGTTGGCTTGCGCTTGACGATCAAAAGTCAAGTAATGGGGAACACATCGAGATCCTAGGGAATGTGTGGGTACCTACCCAAGACGAACTACAGAAGTTGTATGATGCACGTATCTCGAATCCGAGGCATCTGGAAATCCCATTTGATCTGCATCAGCAGCAGGTTTTGCAGAGCTCTTTGTCTAAAAGGCGAAGTGAAAGCACCAGTAATGGTGATGCAAGCAATATGCAGTTTAGCCAAGGCGCCAATACTCAGTCTTTCAACAATAACCTCGTGCCATGCAAAGGTAAGGAAATATGTATCTTTTCAACCTTTTTAAATCCACAGGGTAAGCGAACGGCTGTGACTATCGTCATAAACCAACCGGTCTTTAAGGCTGTTGACATCGTTAACGCTTTTCTGAAGCATTATGTCAATTCAGATGAACACTTATCACAGCGGTTCTCCGCTAATCCACGCATGTACAAACTTTTTTTTGCAGATGAACTCACTGGAGAGGAAGATATGGCAGTTCAACTGGATTTTAATGCCCAGAATTTTTCCTGCTACTTCATAAATCCGTTGCCGGCAGCCAGACTGTACCTGTTTCCCCAGCGCACAGGGCTTCTGCCTTCTACACCATATGATATCCATTTAACAGTGCAGATACGTCCTCTAGATCAGCAAGGAAAACCCATACAACGAAAATGCCTTGTGCCGGCCGATATGCTGGCGGAAAATCTCGAGACAACTGTCTCGAGTCGACTCCTTTCAAGCGCGATTGTGCAGGGTTCTCTACGTATCAAATATGGTCCGTTAGAGCTTAACATAAATGATTATTATGACTTTGGCCCAGGTTGTGGCCGACCGAATTGCCCTATTGCAGAACGTACCATACTTTCATTATACCGCTTTGGTGTGTCGGAGGTTGTGGTGAGTGGTCGTGCCGTTGAAGATGTTGCTGTCAACGGACTTGCGGAGGCTTCTGAAGATATTATCGTTGATATGGATGTTAACGAGGCTTTTTCATTCCAACAATTTGAAGTCATTCGCATCAGCCGATATGGCGCACGACAGCAGTGGCTGCTTTCTGTGGATGGTGAGAACCTGTACACAGTGAAGCCAAACTCGGATTCCATCAAGACAGTAGAGCGGCCGATTAAAGATATTGAGGAGATACGCGTCTTTTCAAGTAGACCGAGGTATATGGAGGTGGTCTACACACGTGCATCACGTCTTGAGGAAGATCACTTTGAGTGCAGCACTGCAAGCAATTGTGCCTTTCTAAATGAGAAATTGCGTATTATTCGTCGCGAACTGAATAAAAGGCAAGAAGAGGAAATCCAGTCTGCTGCGATAAAAGAGCGGCATGGTGTCATACATCGTTTATTAGATCGATTTAGGACTAGGTGGTTCATTTTTTGAGGTGCTGCTTAGAGCGTGAGTCACTCATTTTGCATCATTTTAATATCTACGCGCCTGGCAGGCGCAGGGGTGGAGTGGTGGAAGGTCATTTCGCGCTGCTTATGCATATCAACTTCCCTATACTTGTACTCTTGGTACACCAGGGTGTTTATAATTAATATTATTTTTAGTTCATATCTGATTTCATTACCAAGTCGCTTACATTAGCAGATTATCTACTAAAAAAATAGGGAGTTGTGTGTGTGTATGTGTGTGCAAATGCACAGATATCCTGAGTTATAGGCTTAAAATACAAGTCATTTCTTTTTTGTATCATAAAGTACTTCTTTTTGCCTTATGTCTTTGTTTTCCATTCTTCACCACCGTCGTTCCATGAGTAAAACGCCGAGATAAAGTAATATATATATTCTGAACTTGCATTTTCTATCTATTTCTGTTTCCATAAACTTTTTCAAACCGATGCACGTACTTTTTATAGAATAACTAAGACAGTATTTTATTCTGAAGCATTATGAGTGACCCTACGTGGCGATAATTTGATACATGGAAAATTTTCTACAGCACAACATGCAGTAACAGTGTCCCTCAATGATCAAAAAAAGGTTGTTAGCCTCATTTCCCAATTCTATCAAAATGAGAAAGTGAAAACTCACGATATATATTTTTTTGGTGTCGAAACGAGTGTCTTTGCTGGGTTTATCTTCCATTTAGGTTGAGGTACTCGTGAGGTTTTCTCAATGTTTATGTTGATATAATTCGTGTTGCTTCTTCCTTGAGGTTTGGTTTACATTTAAGGATTTGAATTATAATCCACTATACTTGACGTATTTCAACACAGTATTCTTCTCATTGTACAATTTTGTTTATCTATTCAGGCCATCCTGGCGATGCCTTAGATGGAAGGGGTGTGTTGACATGATACGACGAGTCGAGAGGCCGACTCCTCAGATGCAGAGCTAACCACATTTATGCAGCGACATAGCAAGGTGCTTAGAAGGTCTGCCGGGAGATTTATGGATGCCAGAGTCAAAACGTGGGATGAAAATGAAAGAGTATCTGAGCTTTACCGGCACAACGGCATTCAGTGTTCTCAAGGCCACTAAAAATGCCGGACGTCAAAACGGGAAGGGTTCACCTGGGCACTATTTCTTCACATGATAAGTTGTCCAACAACATCAACACATCAAATTTAAGGGTCGAATCAGGATTAGATTCCTTGAAAATCTTACTAGTTTTTGTTCCTTAATTCATCATATACCACGACAGCCAGATCTGTTGTCTAAGTTGAGTTTACACAGCAGGAGGGTGTAAAGAAGCCGCCGCCTTATGCAATGTACAAAATTTGGCACTGCACATCGGTTTTCTGCTTGTACTCGTTTGCGGCAAATTATCCTTAAAATCATTCTTTATCCTTTGAAGCCATCAACTCAACCGTGGTATTACTTTTAACATTAAATATCCGAACACTTCTCTTTTTAAAGTTAATTCTGCATCAATATGTGGAAATATTAGAGTGTTTGACGTTTGCTTTGTGTATAGGCGGATCCCTTCTTAATACAGTGTGCGAAGGAAAATGAGCTACATAAAGATCTAATAATTACGATGATTCATTAGCGGGCGACTTGTTCGCACCGAGTTCTGTTTTATCTTGTTTATTATACCACTGTTTTGAGCAAATGCTTTCGAGATGATCATCACAACTCCATGACTATGGCATTTGGTTCTGTTGGCGTCATCAATTTAGTTTGTTTTTGGCCTGAACTTGTTGCATTCAACCCGACTGGTTTTGAGAAATTTTAATGGCCTAGAAATACACAGTTTGGGCTGGTGCTTTTGAACTCCTATCTGGGTATCTATCTATCCGATGCTCTATAGGACCGTAGCGTTGTGCTAAGGTCCCCGGTCGTCGCGACGTTGTGCATCTCACTGATATCGCCGTTATCAATGATCATGGAGACAGTTTTTCAAGGCAAAACCTTTGGCGTGTTGTATGTATTTGGTGCATTTATGATCATACTTGGATTTGTGCTATCGAATCTTCCTAAAACTGAATTTATTCGCTTCAGTAAACGCTAATATTTTTGAAGGTAATTTCAATTTTTTACTATTTCTTGTATCTGAGGAATTCAGAGATTAAAGAGATTTAGCTGTACATGAATGTATGCATTTCTATTCATGCAAGCATTATTATTTTTCCATTTGATTTAGTTCTTAATGTGCGTTTGCACCTCTTCTTTTCACTATCCTCTCTCTGTTGCTACGTCACTTTTCTCGTGAAGAGACCTCGGTGCATATGCATCAAGGGTTTGAGGGCATGTAAAGTAAGAGGAGCGGAAACTGAAAACACCCTTATAAAAAGATTAATGATGGATTGAGTATGAGACTAGCAGATAAAGAAGACCAGCATAATTGGCGAATCGTTTCTGTATAAAAATGAATAACTTGTACTTTTTTCATAATATAATCAAAGGTGAGTAGAAGTGAAGACTAATGAATACAAATAGTAGAGGAGTTTACATTCTATGATCGCTTCGCGATTACCCACAGTTGAGATAATTTATACTTTTTTCCTTTGTTTTGCTGGTATTTCTATTAATTTATTTGTATTTCAAGCTTGTTTAAAGCTCCTTTAATTTTATTTTTTCTCTATTTAATATATAGCATTTGAGAAACACATGCATACAGGAACAATGGAAAGCAGGGATGAAGGAGGGTGGAGGAGTTAGCATTATTTATTATTTAATATATATGCTTTTAATAGATCATGGCGACTAAAGTTTCTCAGAAACTTGTGGGCATTTTTAAACTAATTCCTAAAAATATATTACAGAACAATCTAAGTTAAATTCCCAAATGTTAATGATACATCGGACATCACAAATATTAATCTTTGATTTTTTAAATCGAAGTGCATTTTTTATTGAGTAGTATGATTGCCACATTCTTAGAGCAGTGTTTTGAAAGCGTCAGATGAAATTTTATGATTCCGTATCTTTATTTATCTCCTTTACTTTGTATCTAATTGACTTTTCTTTTCGTACATCACTAGCAGTGTGTGCCGGGGAGAAAAAAATTGCTTTGACTTCGAGTACGACGCAAAGAGGCGAATATAAGACGACCTTCCCCCTCTTCCTACTTTCCAAGGATGGAGCTCCAAGAGGTCGCCGTGCCGTACCTTTCGATTGGCTCGCTTTTAGCGCCTGTCTCATGGACGATGGATATGCAGTCAAGCCACGTACCGTTCTCGGTTCCGATGCGATCACACACGGGGTCCTCTTTCCGTTATTCATCATGCTGGAGCAGTAATACCGTTCGTTTTGAGCGGTTCGATGGATCTGGCAACACATTATATATTACTGAGGTGTTTGCTTTCCATCGCGACACGACAGGGATATCTTATGAATGCAATCTAAAGGGTGAGCTCGGTGAGCTTGATTCCAAGAGGACCCACAGGCCCCAATATGAAGAGTCCACATGCACACAAAATCTCCAAGCCTTACTACCTCGGCGCTCGAGTGGCACACCTTTGAAGATTTGGGCTGTCAAGGTAACAGAAGGGGATATGTCAGGGATTCCTGAATCGCAAGCGAAAGCAACTTTTTCACCTCGATTCATATCTAAAGTGGCGTGGCTACGTTCACAAAACTACGAAGTATTCCTACACATCTCGTTGGATGCATTTGACAGGCTTCCCGAGTCTACTACGTGTGCCATTGAAAGAATATTCCAAGATGCAATTTGTAAATATCGAAAGCCACATATAAAAGTCCCTTATGCGCTTTTGCCCGCATTTTCGACCTTAGATTCCACGGCCCTTTGCGGGAAAGTTAGTATTCATAATAACAGTGGTGTCCCCATGCTTTGTTCTGACGATCCGCTGGTTGCTGATGAAAGGCTTAGTTGTTTTTTTTGCGCTAGTGCAATCTTCACAAGCCTTGGTAAGGCATTACTAGTCCTGCGCCAGCGCGGAGGATGTGAAGGCCACGGCGTATGGCAGCCCATAGTATGGAATGTTAGAAACCCGCGGCATCCATATGGTTCTGGCGATGCTTATCCACGATTCCATACATTACCAAATGTGTACGCGAGCGAGACCAATGATGGATGCCAGGATACGAAGACGTCTCAAAAGAGGCGACCAGTATCGTATGACCTAGTGGTTAATAGGACCGATCTGGATAATGGAAGTGACTCGATGCACGTAGTAGCACTACTGCAGCGTGTTGTTTCTCACACATTGAGGCTTAACACCACTGAGAATCTTTACATGGGGATGCCCCGCGAATCCGAAGGATTGGCGGCGGGCGCGGGGTGTGATAGCGATGTTGATTCCCACACGGCAGTGTCATCTGGAGGGGTCATGAGTTTGCGTGCAGTTTGCCTGGCCTCACTCCCTCTCACTACGGATGTGGCGTCTATTTACAATTACCGTTCGGTCGAATATGCTTTCGAGAGACACGTAGGGAGGACGATGCACGATCAGCGTGGTGCCGATAAACATAAAGGGGATTCACATGCAAGGGATTACTTGGACGATATGGAGCTTATAAAGATACACTCATTCGAACGATTTGTGCCATCGCATGATTTCCTTCACGTTGTTCAAGAAAGGTTGAGGGAGGAGACTGCATGGGATACTGCAAATAGGGTGTACACCTCCATGGATTTCAAAGCTGTGTCTCCTTCGCACGTGCCGCCGCGTCGTACGTTGTATGGGCTACGTAGGAGGTCTGTGCCGCACCAGGAGAAGAATTACCAGTTGCATGATAGGAAACTTCTGCTTTCACAGGGGGGGGGACGACCTGAGGACACAAGTCAAAAACAAATGGAAAATTTTTTGTTTGTGGTAGAGCTCATTGCCCCACGTGTGGACAGCACGCACGCTATCGTTCTGGTGGCGGCTGTCGAGACGGGGACCGTTATTGAACCTGACGAAGCGAGGGAGGGGACGGCCATCGCGTCTGTTGGCCAGCTGTTTCATCGGACCGTTCTTAATCGCTACAAGGAAGCTGCCGCGCTGCTCTCGATGACATTTTTTCTGGAATTTCCGCATCCCACGCTGTGGAAGTTGTCCTGTGCTACTGGTGACATGAGTGGATTCTTTTTCCGTCAAGGACATCTACTCCTCCGTATTCCATCAGGAGATCCGCGCTACTATGACACCACTGTGAGGCCTAACGCTGCAAAGTGCTTTACGTCTCTTGGTTCATTTCTCGTCCAAACCTCTTTCACGCCATCGTGTCAGAAAGGCCAGGATAGTTGTCATGGCGAAGCCCAACAGAACTGCTTATGTGCGCCTTTAGCTTCCCTCGAAGAAGGGAGCGCAGTCGCCATATCGGTAGACCATTCTGTTGGAGTGGGGAGTACTGCCGCCTGTACAATTTCCCAACCTAGTGTTTACAGTTCGAGTGTATTTAAGAGTATCTCTGCGGTATGGACGCTACTCTCGGATGGACGCAGTAGTGATGAATTTATAGATTTTTATATCTCAGAATTTTACTACCTCACCGGTGTGATGAATATCAACAACGTGGACAGGCGCACTTCTGCGGTAGAGCATGGCGAAACAGTGCTGACTGTTCGTAAAAGGCTCACTCGAAGTCAGGCATCTTCATCAGGCTTGTCGAGACGTGGTGAGGGGAAGGAAGCCATTGCGTGGTTGGATATGGGGCTACATCACCGGCTTTACGTGTGCGCACGTGAGTGTGGGGTTGGAAGAGTGCTCCTTATCCAGGCATCAATTATATTGAGGGAGGATCTTCAGCATAAGTGTGTTGGGGATGATATGTCAGAGCAAAGGATGAGTGAATGCGAGGAGGCCAGTCTGGAGGCATGGGTAGACAGTATTGCAGTAGGATCTATTGGCACATGAGGAACCGAATATGCATCGAGATGTGTTAAACTTACAGTGATGGTACTATACCACTAGTCAGTACATATAGAATTCTATATATATATATATATATATATGGCTGACTACATGATTCTCATCACAATCGTAAATATGATATAGAATCAAAAGAGGGATGAGCCTTTTCAATTTATTAGTCCCCTTTTTTCCATTACCATTCCGTGTATGACTTATTGGTGCCAGTATGCATCAGAAGGATTCGACGCATGCATCTACTTTGTGCTTGAGTTCCTAGCATTTATTTTATATTACTCTAGAGTTACTGCTATTATCATTATCTATATAATAATAAAAAAATATCTGATAACATCTCTATTCAAGCTTTCACTTTCCATTTACCTTTTTCTCTGCTTGTACATTAACTAGTGACAGCAGCAGGATCAATCGAGACCTATTGCGTCCAAAAGTTAGATTAGTAATGAGTAACAATGGTACAAGCTGCGATGGCGATACTCCCGCAACGAACGTCTTTTTTCCACAAACATGCACGCACATAGCTCATGACTTCAACATTAAGGGTGAGTTACGCACTGTTCTAGTTACCGGCGGCGATCGTCTTGTTTTTCTCAAGGATGGTGTTCGTGTTGCGGAATCGGGGCCTCTACTCAAGGGCGATTTGTTACTGTGTGGTTCTCATCCTATCACACAAACTTCAATCAACACACCGCCAGCTGAGTTTCCTCGGGTTAAGCATATTTCAATATGCCCGTTTTCTAAGGATACGATTCGCGTTGTCATGGTGACGAACAATGTTGCGTGTTTGTTTGAGGTTGATGATTCCGATTGTATTCGGCAAGATTCAGTTTTACCATTGAATAAGGGAATGATACCCAAGGAATCGCAAACAGCACCACTGCAATCTTTACAATGGGCTTCCCACCACGGACGTTTCGTCGGTAGTGGAAACCCACAGTCTTCGTCAGCGGATGCCTCTGCTCCCGTACTGGGGCCCTCTCCAGTGGTGCCGAACTGCGCTAGTGAGTTCCGTGTGCGCGTGCGACGACTGGGCATATCTGACCCTACAGAAGAACTCGATCCTCTGCGTCCCCTTTTCGATTCCCCCAGAGATGATGGTGAGGCAGGCCTGTCTGCAAATCTCTGTCGGAGTACGCCCATATCGAATCAACGAGACGCACGTACTGTGAAATTAGGCTTCCCGAGGCTATCGCATGAACCGTATCAGATGCTTGTTAAGCGAAAGACACGTCGCACAACAATAGTTACAGCAGCTTTCGTGACGGAGCACACTATATGCTTGGTCTACGATGATGAAGCGATTTTGGTGAGTTTGAGTTCATCTGTTTGTGATTTCTATGAAAAGACTGAAAATGCGACAGCCATGGTGGCGGACGCGCAGGTTCGAACCGTTTGGCGTTCTATGGGTGCTTATACTGCCCTTGCGGTCTGCCGTTTCAGCAACTCAGTTGCCCTTTCTCTGCAATCCTCCACGATTGTCGTGTTCCCTACCAATGTCAAACAATATCCTATTGATTCGTATGACTTTCCAACGGTGTCGATGAAAAAAACACCAAGTACAAACAAGCCACCGTTCGTTTCGCTCGCCACCACAATGAATTCCCTGCCGAATACTTTATTCACACATGGAGGAAAGCCCACTGGTAGGGGAAGTGATTTGCCTACGACGTCACTTCCATTGAACGGCACATCCACAGATCGCCGTGAAGATGCAGATGTGGTGGCGGATTCGTTGACGATCCTGTCTGAGCACGGTCTGACGGCCTTCCTTGGAATTTATCGTATCCATTGCATGGAATGGCATTGTGTTTCAACTCACACTTTACTTTGTGTTACCTGTGTGCACCCCCGAGACGGCGGGATGTGCGTGATGCTCTACACGATACACTCGCTGCCAACCATGCCTCCCTTCTCCAACACACTGCACCAGGACGAGGACATCAGCTATCGCACGAGCCCGTCTGATGACGACCAAAGCGGTTTTGACATCAGCAGGGGGTTGTTTCCCTCTGTTTTACATCAAAGCTACATCCTTAACAACTTCGTACAGCTGGTTCCCATGGGCGTCATCCCCTTCATGCATACCCATGGCATAGAGCACTTCTTAGCGTCGTCAAGGCTTTCTGAGGCCACATCGTCTGGTTTAAAGGGCTCATCCGCTTTGACATGGCCAGGCAAGCGGGACGCCTCCACAATATTTGTTAAGTACTCAGTCGGCCAATGCAATCCCTCAAATCTGTTTCCTCTTGGCGGGCATATGACAGGAAGGGTTCCTTTGAGATCCAAATCATCGTTAGTCCTTCGACACACAGGCCTCATACCGAGCTTCTCGTGCAGTTCAGAAGACTCTTCACTGAGTGATACTCTACAGTTCCTGAATGTTGAGGCGGACGGTACTGTGTGGACTTCCTGTTACAGATCTGGTATCCATCGACATTCGAGCTCTGTGATGCAGAGGGCTCAGGGCTTGACATGCATGAATCTCCTTGCCCCGCTCTTCAAGCTTTACGGCACGCTCTACCGCATGGACGTGCTGCCAATGTACAAATACCGACCCTTGGAGATGGGGCCGGTGACCCCACATTCGAAGCTGCCTATGAACGGCGCACGCCGCTATCGGTTTGTTGGTCATTTTGACATGAGCGGAATTGTAGCTGTCATCATGTTAGACCTGTCGGTCTCTACCTATCGTGTTGAGTGTTTCCTTGCAGCAGGTTCGCGTCCAATTCTCTCCTTGTGCACGCTTGCCCAGCCCTTCGTCGCGTGCAGGGGTTTTGGTGAAGAAGACAGGCTTGTTGCTGCTCTTTTGGCAGACACGGATAACCTCCCTGATGGCGCCTCCCTTGCCGGTAGTGGGGATAGTGGTCAGCCCCATTACACGGGACGGGGGGGGGGGGTACGATCGATCGCAGAGAGTCGGACTGACGATGTGCATGGATGCTGGGGTATTGCGATTTTTTCTCAGCGTTGGACCTTCAGAGGATTTGCTAGCACGTTGCTCATGGTGGCCCCGTTCACATCTCTGCAAAATCACCAGGCGATGTCGTTAAACTCAACGCAGAGTCGTGGCTCTTCACCACAGGCTCCGGAGCCGAAGTCGGAGACATTCCCACCTGTGAACGATTTAGAGCTAGGGCTTAAGGCTGGAATGGGGGCCAGGCATTCTATGCAGCGCAAGTATTCAGACAGAAGGTTGATATCCCCGGCTTTGCCGGAACCACTCAAGATTGATGAGGTCCAATTGTTCAACCAGCAACAGAAACAATACGATGTTCACCCTGATGCAGGAAATTTCATACTGCCGAGTGAGCTTAAAGGACAGTCGCCATGCAAATTTGGAAGCCCAAAGATAAATTCCAACCTGACTTCTGACGCAATGTCGCAGGATACTCCTTGCAAAGATCCCCAATATGTCCTTCGGGGTGGTTGCGTCATGCCTGATGGGGAATGCTTGTATCTATCCGCCTCTTATGACCTTTGCTATACCGGAGAAATGGCTACCACTACTTACCCTGATCATACGCAATCATTTTCACCTTGTAGTGATGTTGTCTCGCGTACAAGGACCACCCCTGCGGGCTTTTTAATTCTTCTTCCACCTGCAGAGCTTGAAAGTCCCGATTTGACGCATTCAAACATTCTAGTCGGTGGCGCCTGCATCGTGCGTGCAGGGCCTGCTACTTTCATTCCGATCCAGAACCCCTTTTTCCACCTTCAAGAACTCGTTGGAGACCCAAGCAATGACGGCGTTGGTGAGTTAAAGCAAGCTGAGGGCATGCTTGGGGGTGGGGTCGATCCTTTAACATCTAGATTGCGACGTATCATATCTTACCTTCATGAAATCAAGGACAGTGCTAAAGAGGTGCAGTGTGAGGTGGTAGCCCAGAGTTCCAGAACGGAGGAAGGGGTTTCGACTCCAGCGTGGGGGGTGCGTGTGCGGAGCCCCGCACTTCCCTCTCAATGGGTTCAACTTCCTATTGAACATGAGAGGTGTATGACTATTACACATATTATAGATCTCCAAGGGCAACTTGTGATGAACGACACGGTGATTGGCGTACTTGTTCGAAAGTGCCGTTCTCCTCTCCTTGAGCCTATCCAAGGACAGGAATCCTCGCTCAGCCCGGGGAAGTTGATGCGGGGATTCGAGGCTTGTGATATTGACGACACTGAGTTGCTTCTGTACGGGATTCCCGCCATGCAGCCTGACAGAGGCGGTGATGATCCTGTGTTTGATCTAGAGGCGATCATTACTAACGTTGATTCTTTTTTTATGGGTCCACGCGGTGAGGTGCTAGTGAAGCATCGACACAGGCTATCCCGTTGGCTTCGAAGCTTCCCTAGCTTCCAGAGTAATGATGGACGCGTCACAGGCCACTGCTACAGTTATGTAGAGGATGTGCAACATCGGTTGGAATGGTTCCAGCCTTCATTTCCGGTCTCACTGGCAGTTCATTCTTCAGTTGTTCCTTCTGCGCCCCATCTGAGCACAGTGGCCTCGTGCAGTGTGGAGAATCTCAACAAACCCAATGGAGGTGACGGCGGCAATTTTCTGGCGATGACTTACATAACGGAACCAACTACAAAGATGGGGGATAATACCGCTGACAGCGAACAATCCGAGCAGCGGTCCCGAGTTTCCCCTCGAACTCATCTTATCTGTTCCTTTTCTGACACTGACTACCTCAGAATGTTGCCCACCCCATTCGCCTCGGAGGCCGCCAGCTTTGAAGACAGTGTACGACCCGTTCCTCAGTACCATCCTGAGTCTGTAATGCAGCTTATCGGCATGGAGCGATGGCGGGCGCTGGGCGCAATATTGGGCGCGGTAGCGAAAGCTGCTCGCGCATGCGTGGTTGCCAAAGACAGAGCTGCGCTGGGCCATGAACTTTCTGTACGTGGTTCCTCGGAGTCTTCGACTCCGTGCATGGCTTGCGGTGGTGCAGGGCGTGTACCTTTAGCGCCTACCCCAGGGGTTGTCAGGGGGTTATTTCCCACAGCTATTCAGGCAGCCACCCTGGCGCACGAGCTGTGCACTCCTCGTCATTATGGATCTCACAGGGGGAGGGATCCGTGGACCTTCTGTGCGCCAAGACCTGTTGCCCTTGATGTTGCTTGCGAAGAGGAAGCCGCAGGCGGCACACCGTCGGTAATGACCAGTCTCGCAGCATGTCATTTCTTTGATACCGCCATGAACGATGACCTCATACAAGACCTCAGAGTACTTCTCCCTAAGGTATCCCTCCACGGTCTCAGCAGTAGGGCTCAGCTTGATCTTGTGTGCATCGTGGAAGCCCTGGGGGCAGCGCGCCGCTTTGGGATTAGTCTTGACGAGGCTGCCTCGCGCTTTTACTTCTTTTTCAAGTTGAACGAGCTGCGTGGGCGGTTGCAACCGGTGGGACTGAGCCCGGCAACAACTGGTCCTGAGGGGGGGGTCACCATCTTGCAGTTTGCCACTGACCACACGGCGGCACGCGTCGTTGTAACGATGTCGTATCTATGGGCTGCCATGTCGGACTCCCAGGCGTTGATCCTGCGGGAGCTCTTACCTGGTCTGCCCATAGATCTGTCGTATAAATTTTCAGGGGCCTTGATTAGTGGGGCGGCTGGAGAGGTGTTTCTTCCTTCCCCTAAAGCGATAACTTGGGAATTTCTGGAGAGATGTGGCGTGGCGTATTGGCTGAAGGATCCGTCACAACTCCGGGTGCTGGCGGATGCTGTTGCCCGGGAACAGTTCCGAGCTACTAAGAGCATACCAGACTGTGCTTTGATGTACTGCATCTCGGGGAATGTGAGTACCTTGGTGGCGCTATGCAAGGAGCGAAAGGAGAACAGGTTGCGTGACTTCTACAGCCGAGACTTCAGCGAAGGGGCCAATCGCCGCGCGGCGGTAGCTAACGCGTACGCTGCGTTGGGCAAGAACCTGATCAGCTACGCTGCCTCCTTCTTTCTATTGGCTGGGGACCTCCGCAGCGCTGTCCAGATTATTCTGCAGCGACAACAGAACCCTTCTTTGGCGTTGTTTGTGCTCCGTTCTAGTGTCATTTCGCAACGTGACAATTCGGGCGCTGCAAAGGTAGCGACTACGCACGCTGAGGACTTACAGTGGTTCCTCCAGGTTTTGCGTGCAGAGTCATGCGGCGTGCAGATGGATCTATGGCTCCAGGGATGTCTTTACTGGGTAATGGGTGGTCAAGAGGGTAAAGTTACCGCACTTCAGTGCCTCGCCCGACACCCTACAGGGCATCCAGAGGTGTTGTGCGTACTGCGCCACGCACGCAAGAGGGTGGCGGAATTGTCTCAGCGCGAGAGGGACTTTCTTTTATTTGAATGCGAGCTCTTATGTCTTCTACGTTTAGGGCGGTATTGCCAAGTTCATCGACTGGATCTGAATGCTCAACTCCACTATGCTGATGTACAGAGGTTGCTCAAGGGCTACAGCACTGAGATGGTGCTGATGCCTCGTAGGAACCCCACTGGTGCATGGACCGAATTTTCAAGTTCGCAACTTATCGAGAAGAGGCCAAGGACGTCAGCGAAAAAGTCTCGACTTCAGTCAGACTATAACACGGGGACATTGATGTTTGAGGGATTCGGCAATAGGGCGAGTGATGATGATGAGGATGAAAGCGTATCTACGGAGGCAGACTCCCACACACTCGTCGGGGAGCATTGGAGCGAACGAAAAGTGTCAGTATCGACAAACACTATAGGACCTGCGTCGACAGCTATTGACGCTTTGAGGGGCCCTGTACTTGGCATCTCGAAGCGTTTCGTTGACATGATTGAGGCAGAAATTGCATATGCCACTCTGATTCTGCGTGGTGCTCCGTGCACCGAACATTGTCCACGGGCCTATTCCCCACAAACAGACCGAGATAGGGGTAGTTTGGCTCATCCAATGTGCACATCTACTGTGCTTTCCATAACGGACACGGGACTTTATAATGTTTTGTATCCACTGCTTCTTAGCGTGATGCGAGAGAGTCCGTCTGCGGAGATAGAGCGCTGCTTGACCAACTTACTTACTTACCTCCTGCCTGATCTCGTGCAGGTGGCGTGGTCACCTCCGCTTCCTATTTTATCATCCCCACCGCATTCGGACATCTCCCAGACATCACAATTTGCTTCCCCTTTTCCGAGGAATCCCACACATGTGGTACTAATGATGGTACTATTTCTTTCACTCAGTGAAGTTGCGACTAGGTCACAAAATCAACCATTAGCATGTGTATTGGTGCGGGTATCGTGTTACTCCCTTAATGATCTCGAGCGTGGGGCCACTTTCGTGGGCCTCCCTGCCGCGACGCGTGTGCACCCTGTGGTGGCTTTCTGGAGCTGTCTGCATTACCACCTTGCTGAATTTTGCTTCGACAACCACAGGGATAGTCACGTAACGAGCGGCCCGGACGACACGGTTGTAGGGTCGGAGGCTGTGGACCACGCCACCGCCAGGTCAGGTGACAGCGACCTGGATGGGGGGGGTAGCCTACCGGTGACGTCCTCGGAATACGAAGCGTTTTACCAAACTTTATTTGCTGCTGCTTCGAATGAAAAGTGTATTCCGATGACTTCTCAGGGTTCTTCTACCGCCACCACCCCCGATCCCGAGCGGCAGCTGTTTGCGCGTGAGGTGGACTTGATTGACTGGCACTTCGCCTGGTCCAGCTGCTACGTGAGCGCGCACGTGCTTCAAGTGCTGTGGAGTATATCAGAGTATGGCGCTGAGATGGCGAATCCGCAGTCGCCTACCACACAGTTAGGGGTCCGGGCTGAGATATCGCATTCATTTAGGGAAGGTACCCCAAGATCTAAAGGGGCATCTTATGAGGCAGAGTCGTTTGAAACCCAGCACAGCTTTCGAATATGGGTGTTGCTCTGCTGCTGTATGGCCTACGCGACTCTCCATTTTGACAGACTGGCAGCGGATTGCTACACATGCCTGCAGCGGTTCCACTTGAGCTACAATGACGACAGGCAGACAGCACCAAACGGTGTGCTCGTGGAGGTGAGGCATGCGCTTAGCCGCACATTGGCAGCGCTTTGTGCGTTTCTGGAGGTGGTGTCTGCATCCCGCTGCCGAGCCGTGCCGACCTTCGCTTTTAAAGCAGACTCTGCCTCTGGTTGTTATGAGGGAGATATCACGCAGGAAAAGGTGGGGGCAGAGGAAGGTCTAAAGGAAGAGAACGCTACAGAAAGTACTTTCGCCGATTTTTCATCGCTGCATCCTCCTCTTTTGGGAGTCCCATCCACGAACATCGCCGCTTTTCTGGTTCGGCTTTGCGCAGCCCACGCGGAGCTCTTTTTGGGACTTCCGTCGGTTGGGCAGGCCGAGACCCTAGAGCACCTCCGAAGACGACCGGTGCAAACCTTTTCATTGCTGCCCGGCAGCGAGATTGGTGTCATGACGGGGTGCGGTGGTCGAACTTGTGGGCAGGGGGGTGTGAGTGTGAGCAGAAACCCCATTTTCCGTATTTTTGATGCGCCCGCGGGAGAACATGGTTGCGAGGGTGGAGAGGGTTGTGATGGTGGGTACGGGTGGGAGCTGGATCGGCGTGGTCGCGCGGTGCTTCAGCGGATGGAATTGTACTGGCAGCGACTCCATCATACCTACAGATCCTTTCGAAACCAGCTTCTAACGATCTCAACTAAAGGGATCCTTTCAGATGACCCCCTAGTGACGGAACGCCTTTTGCTCAATCACAGCAGTCACAGTATCCGATGCCTGGACTTTGATTACTCAAGTTGCGAGAGCTTGGTGTGGGCCACCGAGGCTGGTCTATTTGTGAGCCACGGCTTTCGTGAGCTTCTTGCCAGTGACAACGAGGACGCGTTGAAGACCCAAGCCCTAGAGAGGAACATGGCAACAGCGGCCTTCTCACGTGGGTTTGAAGCACAGTTGAGGTTGTTGGATATGCTTAATTCAAAAGGCGGTTCTTTAGCAACGACACCTTCATCGGCGGCGATGACACTGGCAGGCCGTCCACGGGCTGCCATCGCCGTTAGCATGTGCTTGGTATCACACCCACATCTCCCGTTTTTTCTCAGCAACCACCCAGACGGGCACCTGGATTTGTATCCTTTCGCCTCCCCCGAATGCATAGCATCGTACTTATGCCCGGGAGGCTGTTGTGCGACGACGCCAGTGAGCTTCAGCACCAATGGTTGGCAGTTCACTGTGGGCCTTCAAGACGGCTCCATTGTGGGCTGGCGCTTTGCTACCGTGGACGCAGACAAAGCACTAATGTTTTGCCTCCCATCGTGGTTCCTTCCCTCTGGGGTGAGGGCAGTATTTTTCTGTGGGGAGCAGACTTCGAGGGTTGTGGCTGTGGGCTCCGTTTTGGAGCCACACCGCACAAATCCAGTCTTTAGGGGGGTTTCAGGGGACGGTGACTACATCATCCGCTCACACGACAGCAGACCGCAAGCGCCCGCAGGTGCTACTCATCAAGAGAGTCGTGACCCTTTCACGGCAACAGCGACTTGGCTTCCGTCAGATGAAGATAGCATAACCGAAAGTGCCCATTTAGATGCCTCCCTCCAGGAATCCGTGATGAGGGCCTCGCTGACTAGCGCAAGCAGCATTCCGACTGGTCGAAATCGTCACCCACATCCTGTTACGGTGCAGGTTTCAGAGATTCTCGTCATCGATACAGCATTGAAGGTCGGGGAGGTTGTGGTGCGCTGCGCACTGCCATTCACGGCTGAGTTCGCGGTCTATCTGAATTCTCTGGACGTTGTGTTGGTCGTCTCGGTGGAGGGTTTCATCGCTGCCTATGAGGTTCACTTGGGCAGGCTGACGCTGCTTAACGATATGCCCTTGGCCGAGATGATCCAGGGACGGCGGCTGGGCGGCTCAAGATCGAGTGAAGCGCATTTGTCCGATCTCATCGACAGCGCCTCGACGGAAATGATCACCGCAATCGCTGTCAGTCCCTACGATCCTATCCTTGCGCTTGGCACCTCTTCCGGTTTCGCTCTCCTCCTTAGGGTGAATACGGTGGCAGAGACTATCCGTTGCCGCAACACGGGAGGTAAGCCACACAGCAACATAGCGAAACAGTGGACTTTTACGTATTTCCACCCACACCGCACGCATATCAGTCAACACGGCCACAATAGGGCCGTCAACCGAGTTCATAGCCTTCCGTCGCGTGTTGAGCCCCCGGATAGGATAGGTCGCTTAGTCTACTATTACGAACCCACAAACCACCACGGTGGGTGCCTCGCGGACTATGTTTTGAAAGCGGAATCCGTTGGTAGCGACGGCGAGTTGGCCGTAGACGCGCCTGAGGGTGAGTCAACGCGATGCCTTCCACTTCTGCAGCATGCCACGCGCGTGCAGATGGCGCCCTTGCAGGGACGGCCGAACTCGTCGGTGTTAGACCTAAAGTTTGCTCCTTCTGTGCTCCTTGCAGGCCTAAAAGATGGTTCGCTGATGGCTGCACGACTGATCCCTGAATCGCTGCGACGGTTTTTTTTACATCGCGTACCGTCCAAAGTAGATGTTTAGGGGAGAATAAAGAAGAGCTGTTATGTTTTTTCAGAGTGGTGGCAAAGATGGGCTAGGACGACGGAAAAAGGGCGCTAGATGTGTGCTTGTATGCACTATGGTGTCTGATGAAGGTTGAGAAATCTTTTTCCAGCTTTCCTGTACCCCACAATGCTTACTTATGATACTCGTCTAAAGGTAGAGAACCTCTTAATCTCCAATGCAAGGTGGAGCTGCCTGTGGGCCAATTGTACACCTCAATCGATACCTTCGGCATCAAGAACAGTATGTGAATTTACGCGCCTTTAGGGGACGAACCACGAATTCAGACTGAGGAGGAGAAGGCCGCTCAGGTACATGCAAAAGCATATTTGTTGTCTTTTTTCTTCCTCGCCTCTACATTCCTCCCTCTGAAGAAAAGAAAAAACAATGCCTTTTGCAGATTATTTTTATCCTCCCTTTTTATCACTGTATGCAACGATGCTTAGTAGTCAAGCTCATTCACTGTGAGCATAGGTGCCCCTAAAAAATGATAGAATATGGCGGAAGGGAGGGGCAATTCAAATACTATACCTGTAAACGATGGAGTATCACCCTGTGATAAAAATTACAGCTCATAACTAGTGCGGCTGATTTGCAAACATTCAGATTTATGAAATCATAAATCAAGGAAAGGTAATTATTAATCCTTTCGTTTTAGTTCAAATTTATTTGTGTAACATAGATTTGATTCGGTATGGTTAACTTGGCTGTTTTGGGTCTTATATTGAAACTTTCACTGCACAGCTTGGATCTCAACTTTTCTTCTCCTAAAGACCGAATGGAAAATAATCTTGAATTTTTTCTTTTGACCACATTAGGAATAATCAATAAAATTGTTCAGAAGGGTAATAAAGGAGAATTTATCTTACACACACACACACACACACACACACACATTGCTGGAGGAGGGGTTTGTGCCATATATTAATGGGTCAAAATTCATATATTTATATATTATTTTAAAAATTATAGGATTGAGGGGACAAAATTACTGTTCATTTATTTTTTATCGTCATTAAGTCCTTTCATAGGTTATATTTGTACGAATCGCTTTTATTTCCTTGAGACAATAGTTAACACCACCATTAGTGAAGGAAGCGATATGATTCGCCGCTGTGGGTTCCTTTTCATAGGATCTGAGGGGGGTGCCTTCATCTCTCGCATTCATGACAAGTGCTACCTTGAGCACCGCTTGGCAATTCTGGGCAAGCCTGACGAGACACTACAGTCTATGAAGGAAGAGGACATCAAGCGATTTACAACGTCAATGGGCTCTTCAGAGGCGTTGTTTAACAAGCTTGCCGGCACCATCCCCACGAACGTCGTTGACGAAGAAACCGGACTGGTGATCGGGTGCGCGCAGCCAGATCCCACAAGGTATGGTGACTGGGAGGTGAACGGACGCTGTTATGATTTCTGAAGATATTCCTAAGTATAAGGTACTCTGTGGTATATTTTTACATTATTAGCACAAAATACTGCTGCGTGGATCGGAAAATTGTCATATGTCTTGAGAAACTAGAGAGTAACATGGTGAAAATGAAGGTGAAGCATTTGAGAGGATGGCTAGGTTTAGATCGAGTCGGCTGTGAATGATGTCAACATGTTGTCTTTGCTTACTCTGTATGTAGGAACTTTTTATTCTTTTTTTTCTATCTTTCCCTCCTTGCTTTTGCTCCCTTTTTTTTGTCCTGCCTTGTTTAGGACCGTAAACACAAAACAAAAACAACGATAATACACAAATTAGTGCGTGTGTTTGAACTCATATTGACTGTTCATCACATTATTGCTTATTTTTACAATAAATTCCACCCTTCCATATAGGTCTCCCTTTTGCTCTACTTTTTCCGTATTTTGACACTTTCTAGTAGGGTACTTCTACCAAAGACTAGTTAGCCTCTTCTTTTTTTTCTCTCTCCTTCTCCATATATCTGTCTGTGCTTCGTGTTCTTGTCGCCGCAGCCTAAAAAAAGGAATTCATTGGTTTCTTTTTTTCTCCTTTTTATTTGGTTTCCAACACTGCTTCATCAAAGAAAAGCCAGTGAGGATCAAATATAACAAAAAGGAATAAGATACGTGTGAGAGCTTGTGTGTACCTCTTCGCGTCCAAACGCACGTGCACATCTGTAAAAAAGAAAAACGCAAATTAAGTGTGATATAGCTGTTGCCATCTTAATCGCGTAAATGGCAATGCAATTATTTAGCTTTGGCCATCCTTGTGAGCACCAGCTGAGACGTAGCTGTATAGGAGGTTCTAGCTGCCCCTTGAATGGGTACCCTGACAACTGGTGCTGTAGTTTTATCAAGGGTAAAATAAATTTCAAACGGGATAAGCCCTGTGAGGGCACACGGTGTCGCTGGGGCTTCAATCACCCGAGCCAGTCGCAGTTTGATGCTGTTACGCAGGTCCTTAACGAGGGCCGGCTCATTGCCGCGAAGATTGACGAGGCTGAGGATCACGAACTACTTACCTTTAACATAGAAAACCCCCACGTTGTCGATACGGTGCAGTGTGCGCTTCACATGATGCTTCACCTTCCTAGTAGTTGTGCGCGTCGGGTTGGTCAGCTCTTCGCGTGGTCAGCCGTCAAAGTCGGTGACGCAAAGGTGTTTATGCAGTTTCTCAAGACGATGAAGAAGCCCGTAGATGCGTATATTCTAGGAGCGTACACCTTCCTTACGCGGGGAAACCTACCTACACCCTCCATTCGACTTCCAACGACCCCGCAGCAGGCCTCAGGCAAAGGTAAGAGCAAGGGCAAAAATAGTAGCTCTACTTCACCAGCTACTAGCAACAACACTAGCGGGAAGGAGAAGCGCGAGGAGGTGATTGAGAAACTAAAAAATGCCATAGTGGATCTTATGAACGCCGCGCTTAGTCAAGGCGGCCAGCTTGTCGACCGGGAGGACCAGCACATTCTCCAGGCCGTCTTTATCCAAGCCCTGCGGTGCTACCCCAAGAGCAATAGGAAGCGCCAGGAGATGCTTGAACTGGCGATCAGCAAGTTCGGCAACCGGCAGCTCCCGAAGGAACCGGCGGCGGAGCCCGCCCCCGGTACCGCCGCGCCCGGGAAGGCCGAAGGAGGGGGGGGGGGCAGCCCCGCCGGCGCCGGGGTCTCCCCGCC